AGTAACTTGAAGTAACTGAGTTACTTTTGATAGAAGTAACTAGTAATGTAACTAAGTTACTATTTTAAAGTAACTTACCCAACACTGGTTATATATAACCCAGAGAAAGGCGGAACATGTGAGTGCTATAAACCCCCGGGCCACGGACCAGTACCAGTCCGTGAGTCGTTTGGTACCGGGCTGCGAGAGTTGAGGGTTTCCATGGGTCTTTTCCTGTGTGTTATGAATACATCAGTACTGGTTTTATTTCGTTGTATTTATCCGCAACACCTTAAGGCCGGTCCGTGAAAATATTGTCAGACATAAACCGCAAAAAAGGTTGGGGACCGCTGCTGTAAACCATAAGATATGTTTGCCATCAACATGCAGGAACCAACTTGGTTATGTTACCATACCATCCATCCCTCCAGTGAAGCCCTCTGTGCTCCAGAAGCAAGTTAATGTTATTTATAATAGCCACCTTGTAGTCTCTACAGACTGATGACATCCAGGCAATCAAGCTGTGCAGGTGGACGAAACCAACCCCCTCCGTCTTTTGATATCAGATATCATTTGTCCCCAAATAGACTGGTTCAACTTGGGTTGGTTCTTTATAACCTCTGGGATTTCCGAAACCCCAGCACCAGGAAAATTATTTAGCAAAGGTTCAGTAAAAAAGAAAGACCAGGAAACGTTTTAAGCCTGACAGCTCATTTCACCAAGAGAACAGAATTCATAAATATTCTGAATGAAGTATATCAAAATTGTACAACTTTCACCTGTGGTGCAGTTTCTTACGTTATTGCACTTTTCAAATGAACACTGAGTTGTTAATGTCGCCTCTTTTATTGTATAATGTGGCATTGTGTTTCTACATCATCTCCTGCTGAACTTGTAGCATCATCATCTGCAGATGGTTTGTTGCATTAACATTTTAAGAGGTCTTTGTTGTGTGTCTTTATATTTTTATCTGCTGTTTGAGGAGTTTCCTGAGAACAGCTGCTGCCTTAAAGAATAAACTCAGGGGTGCAGGAACAGGTTATTGACTGACTGCAGCCTGAGTCTCCATCACTGAAATAGACACAGATGTGTTTCTCTTGTCTGAAGCCTCTGAGTTAATTTGTTTGAGACGATGCTCAGATGCAGTCAGAGGCTTTTGGAAGCCAACAAATGCAGATTAAATTTGCTTTTATTTAGTCAAACGTGGGCGTGTGTTCGTGTTGTCGATGTTTTCTGGCAGGAGCTCGGTTTCTCTTCAGTTTATAGTTTGTCAGGATTGATTTGTCTCAGATTGACACAACATGCTCACAGATGGAAACCTCCGCAGGAAATTCTGCTCTGCTGAACGTGGAGAGGAAACGAAAAACAGCTGAAAATTAAAAAATGTCATGTCTGCAACAGTGAGCATGTGTTGTTAAAATAATTTCTAACCTTATCATTCATTGGACTGTAAATGGACCGGTTCTGATCTAGCGCTTTTCTACTCTGAGCACTCACCATTCACACCAGCACTGTCTCTAAGTGCTTACTATCGAACATTCACACACATTCATACTCCGGTGGATGCATCGGAGAGCAACATGGCGGTTAGTATCTTGCGAGCATTGTGCTGCATCAAATATCCTCACACAGATGTTTTATTGTCGTTGCAATGGCGCTGCCGTCAACAGATTTAGGTCAGCGTTTTCCTGAAAGGAGCGCAAACTGGTGGAGGCGGACTGATCTGCTGAAATATAACTATAAGCACACAGATCTTTATTAAAAGTGTAACTACATGAAACTTCAGTTAAGCCACAATGATATCAGCCACTTATAAAGGCTGATTGTGGAGGTTTGCATCTGGAGCCTCAGTGATGACACATTTCTCTCTAATTATTTCCATGATTGTTTACTTCATTGAAGCCGGTGTCAATCTGAAATTTATTCATTTATTTTTCATGCGACTAGTTCTTTT